TTGGTGTTAAGGGTTTAGGGTTTAGGGTTTTTGGGTCTGGGGTTTGGGGTTAAGGGTTTAGGATTTTGGGGTTTGGGGTTTGGGGTTTGGGGTTTAGGGTTCAGGGGTAAGGGTTTCGACTCACACGCTCGCGCAAGGCAGGCATGGCAACAAAGGTCCGAGCTCAGGCTTAAAGGTTTAGGGCGTAGTTTTAAGTTTTAAGGTTTTAAGGGGTCCTATCAGGCTTTTCGAGCTTTTGTGTAGGGGCCGTACTGGCTTCAAGTAATAATGGGCTTTGTGGGACATACTCTAGCACAGCTCTAGCAAAACATCATTGCCCAAACCTTGTTATAGGGCTACCACACACCCCAAAACCCTATTCTGATTACTACCAGAGCCCCTAAACCCTAAACCCTAAACCCTAAACCCCAAAACCCTATTCTGAGTACTACCAGAGCCATGATAGCTCCTGCAAGCCGATGGAGGTCATCTCCTGAGAGAACTCGTCAGTTGAGAGCTCCTGTGCCAAGAAGGCTAAGGTTTGAGGTATTTCATGTGGGAGTTTCCGAAAATTAGGGGTACCTTATTTGGGGGTCCTTATAACAAGGATCCTACTATTTTGGGTACTATATTAGGGTCGGGGTTCACGGCTTACGGCCTCAGGCTTGCGTGGCCTTCCGCATAGCTTAACGGACGATCCGAGAGGCAGAGATGAGTGTTTGCATGTTGGTCTTATGCCTTCACCGCTACAAGGCCCGTTGTAAGAGAGGCGTGGCACCTCAAATCAAACCACGTACTTCTCACAGTACCCTTGTCTCGACTCGTGAACGACTCCAAAACGGTAGGCAAAGAATTGCGAGGGATTTCGGACTTCTGCACATACTCCCACTTGCACATGCACACACTTCTAGAGTGCCTAGAGGTGCTGGCCAGCATGCACAGAAGTGGAAGCTGATCAGATAAATCTATAAGTCAAAGTACAATTTAAGGTCTAGGAACCATGAAATCCTAAACCAAAGGCAGCGCACGTGTACAGACTCACCCGGTGTCCGCCCGTCTTTGCTGGCACATGCAGGCAGAGCACAGAACAGCCAAGGCACAGATTGTGGCTGCGACGAGGCGAAATTTTGCTGGTTCCGGAAGATTTTTGAATCCCTTTGGCGGAGCCTTATACAAAGCGGGCTAGTTTTCAGGGCCCTATTTCCTGAAACTCCCATACACCCTTGGGCTACTCTGTGGCGCTCCGAAGCTCTCAGAATTTCCTGAACATCGCAAGGTCCTGTAGGGGTTGGGGTTCCACGGGCGTCCTGCGACATCTCGGGTCCCACCGATGTCTCTGCCAGGGACATGTCCGGCCAGCCGGCCACCTGAAAAGCCCGGAAAGATGCTGACCCAGGCTTGGCGTGATAACATCTCTCGGGGTTTGCACTCTCGCAACACGAAACTCCAGGCAGCGCCTCTTTGAGGTGTTCAGAAAAGACTGCGAAGGGTGCTCAGAAAAGCTGCTGCTTCAGGGCTGCCGGCTTGAGCAACTCCCTTTTAGAAGGGAACGCTAAACCAGCGCAAGTAACATAAGCCCACCTTCTTCGCCGGCAGCTTCGTCGAAGCCGAAGTCAATCGTCTGGCAAGGACAACACCACACTACTGTCGGCATGTCACACTGCGACGAGCCGAGCCAGGTTCGGGTTACGGCTCAGGACGTGTGCTTGGTCTAGGTTATAGAGGTTGTCAGAAACCAACTACGGAAACTACCAGTCGAAGGCCTCCATTCTACGTCGTCGTTGAAGCAGATATTTAGGTAGGCTGCTTGAGAAAACCACCAGTTACGTGATGCACAGCGAGACGAATATGTACCACATGCTGACATGTCGGCATCATGCCTGTCTCAGTTCTGGTGCTGCTACTAGTACTGCTGCTACTGCAACTGCTACCACTACTGATACAACTGCCACTACTAACTACTACTACTCCTGCTACTACTACCTCCAGCACCACCACTACTTCTACTCCTGCTGCTACTGCCACCTAGGCACACGGCGCATATTGCGCCGCTGCCTAAACCGCTTCTATGTCTTGGCGGGGATGATTTCTATGGCGGTTGTGTCTTTTTCAGGATGGGCACAACAACGAAATATTCATGATTTTGTCCGTAACTACATGCAGGAACGGTGTCTTGCAGTGGTCTTTACCAAGCGAAGTATGGTTTTTAACCTATCCAAGACTAAATTGAAAATGATTGATTCCGCTAGGTTTAATTAGTTCGCCTTATCATGTTATAAACCACAAAAATAGTTTTTTGTGCATGCATGTGTATACATGTATATATATATATATGTTGCTTACATTGAATTATTTATCCAAGGTGAAACTAGTGTACATGCTTACTATCAGAACTACAGGAAAACGCAGCCTATACTCCGCATATGCACGCATTTCACATACTATCATACTGTCACAGCTGGGCTTGCACGGCACAGGCTTGAAAAACGCATGCTTCTCCGTGTGCTCATCGCTTGGTTAGTTTACTATAGGGTTTAGGGTTTAGGGTCTAGGGTTTAGGCTTTAGGGATAGTTCAGAGGCTTACGGTTGAGGGGACATGGGCTCCATGACTCGATGCTTGAAGAAATGCGCGCAGCTGTAAGTATGGCTGCACGGGGGCTGCGCTTGAAAGTGGTTAAAGCATTACTTTTTGGCTCCCGAAAGGCTTGTCGTCTCACTTGAAAGATAAGAGTACGCACAAAAGGTTCACGCACTCACGAACCTTCACGTCCACGCTTCTCTCTTGGGCTCTGGCTGCAAGCCGACGTGCTGCGCAGTGCGGGCCAAGGCGTTGTAGTCCTTCGCCTTTCCCAGATTCCTAGACACTCCAAATAAACACCTTTGATCGTCAAGAAATTGCGGTTTAGGGTTTAGGGTGAGTTTGGGGCCTAGGGAGCGAATGCTTTTTGGGGAAATACCAAGTCTCCCTAGAAGCAGTCAAAGTCCACCATGTCTGCGGTCATCAAATTGACGCGTGATTTTCTCGTTTCTGTCCCAGCTAGGGATGAGTATCTGAATCCTAATATAAGGGCCTTAATAATTAGAATAGATTTTTGGGGCCCATTCTACTATACTTAAAATAAGGAACCCCCAAAATAGTATAGGTAAGTATTTTACATTAAGCTGCTTTTAACTTCCGGGCTTGACGGTGTGGGGTCGAGCTTCGAAGAAGTTTGAAGGTCCAGAATCTATGTTGGGGGCTTACGTCTTGGGATTTTTATGGAAGCAGAGCTGGGACGAAAGGGGCTTCGATCTTGGATGATTTTGGTTGGAGGAAGCAACGACTGAATATATTGTTATAAACATGTGTACTACTATGATCCTTGTCACTATGTCTGTCTTACTATCAAAACTATCTGTTTGTCTTATTCTCTGTGGCCTCTACCAGCCTAACCGCTGTGACCATCATGCCATCCCTTGCTGCGGCACTGCACGCGGCAATACGCTCAAGACAATGCCGATCAGAGCCGCGAAATAGAGGACCCTAATATAGTACCCTAAATAGTAGGATCCTGATTATCAGGACCCCCAATAGGATACAACATTTCATCATAGGCCCCGAGCGACTACCAAGCTCCGACGACCATACCCCCGAACAAACCATAAGGGAACGACTCGACAAACAAGAGACCACACGCGCAAGGACGCCGCCTCTGCGACACACACCAGGCTCGTCGCATCTGACTCACCTGCCTGATTGAGAGATTGGGTTCAGGGTTTCCGCTAGCATTTTCCCCTCCCAGCCATGCAGGATTTTTCCCTCTCGCATAGGGTTAGGGGTTGAAGGCGGTGTTTAGATTGTTCAATGTGTCTTTACATAGGAAGAGAACAGCACGACTTTTTTGGGTGCAAAGCATTCATAATGACTAGTCCTTTCGTCTATGGCTCTGCCTCTGTTTTATTTTGTCATCCTGGCATGAATTGGCATCGGGTTGAGTTGGGTTTGGTGTTCCGTTTTGGGGCTTCTGGGGGGTACTATAAATTATCCGTGTCATTAAATTAATTTCAGTATCACTACTAATGTGAACAATTTGTCTTATGAAAACGTGCGACTACGGACTGACGAGGCCATTTCTGAGGCGCTTCGTAGAATCCCGCCGACTCTCGGATTTCAAGACTTTGGGTTTAGGGTTTAGGGCTTTGGGGGTTTAGGGGTTTTGAGGGTTTTGGGTTTAGGGATTTGGGGTTTAGGGGTTTTGAGGGTTTTGGGGGTGTTTAGGGTTTTCAGGGTTTAGGGTTTAGAGTTTAGGCCAGGGTGTCCAACGTGCCGGACTAGCCAGCCCTCACGACAGCGCCAGAGACATTGTTCCAGCAGATGCAACGCGACTCAACTGCAGACGCGGCAGTTGTCAAAAAGATGCTCGATAACCCCTGCCGCGGCGGCGGCCCTAAGCCCAAGCCCCAAACCCCAGACCCGAGACCCTAAACCTAAGCCCCAAAACCCTAAACCCGGTACTGTAGGGGCTGTAATAATTAGAATAGGGTTTTGGTACATTATACTATAGTTATAGTAAGGAACCCCAAAAATAGAATAGGTAATTATTGAGGCCCCTATATTACGGCAGTGGAGTGGTTACCGTTCCAAAGTCCATGTGCTCTCGGAGCTCACCTCTGAAGCGGTCTCCGAGACGGCACGGCTCGTTGGCACCCGGCGCCCCTGCGCAAGCGTCCGGTGCTTAGGGCCCCACAAGGGCTATAAGGGTTCTGCAAGGCTTCTGTTTATGAGGGTTCTATAACGGTTCTTTGAGGCATAAGGACTTGTGAGTGGTTAAATTTCGGGTTTCGGGTTTGTGCTCTCACACTCTGGCAGGGTTCGGCGTTGCGGAGTTTTTGGGGTTGAGGGCTTTGGGGTTTGGGGCTTTGGAGTTTCGAGGGCTTAAGGGTTTCGGATTTGGACCAAGGGCTTCAGGCTGAGGCTTCAAGAGGGTAGGGGGGAGAGCCGTTTACGGTTTGGGGTTTAGGGTTTAGGGTTTAGGGTTTAGGGTTTAGGGTTTAGTAGGGGTTTAGGCTCTCACAACTCGGACAGGCCAGGCGAGGGTCCATAGTCACAGGTCGGAGTGATACTGAATGCAGGTCTAGCAAGGGTTTAGAATTCCAGATGGAAGTGCCGAACTACCCCTCCACCTGCCGGAAAACTGACTGGACAAAATTGCGGTCAACAGCGCCCAAGGCCAAAATGGCTGGCTGCGGGCCACGACTATACGGCTTAGCTTGTTCAGAAAGGTCGTCTTCCGTAGGGGTTTGGGATGGTTTTCGATTTAGTTAAGGTTTCAGGGATCTGAACTTCTCGACCAAAACCGAGTGTCGCCGAGTCTCGGCATTTTTTGCATGGAGGATCATGTGCCGCTGGCTGTTGAGACAGTTGCTGCCCTCTTCCAGTGGAAGAAGGCCCTGTCGAGGCTTTCTCGCAAGTAGAACACCAATCCTGCGCCCCGAAACCCCGTTATTCCCATACCCTAGCTCTAGATCCCTCCCCAACTGACAGAAACCCTACAGCCGTAGGGATTCAAACCCTGAGTTCAGCACTGAAGCCCTGTCCACCCTCCAGGAAAACAACACAGCTTTCGCCATAGCCTGCCTGACCCGACGGCCGCGAGGCAAGAGCCTGCGCTCGACGTCTGGCGAGATGACGCTCTGGGTCCTGGCAGCTGTCTTCTGTTGTTATCCCTCCGTTCCCAACCCCCTCCCCTCCCCTCCCCGAAACGCGGATTTGGGCAGTCCCAATCTGAGTGAAGCTTCACCCTCAACCCCAAAACCCTAAAACCCCAAAACTCTAAAACCCTAAAACCCTAAAACCTAAAACCCTAAAACCCTAAACCCTAAGGTCCTAAAACCCTAATACCCTAAAAACCCTAAACCAGTCCAAGCTCTGCCGTCCTCGGCCTTGGCAGCAGCCGTGGCTGCCAGCGGCGGCGGTGCTGCCGGCGCTTGCCTGGCCCGTCTCTCGGGGGCGGGGCAGGGGCTTCGATTCTTTTAAGGAGTCTCTTGAAGGGTTCCCTTCAAGGGTTCCCTTTAAGGGCTCCCTTTAAGGGTTCTCTTTAAGGGTTCCCTTTAAGGGTTCCCTTTAAGGGTTCCCTTTAAGGGTTCCCTTTAAGGGTTCCTTCTGGGGTTCGTTTAAGGGCTTCTCGGGAAAATGTTGGAAAGGTTTCGGATTTAGGACTGAAAGTTCAAATGTGTTGCAAGGGCTGCTATGGGATGCCTCTAAGGGGTTAGGGTGTGTTAGGGTGTAGGGTTTGATTAATTTGGCGGCTTGTACAATCGCTCGCACTCACGCTCACGACTGCACGGGGCCGGGGGATGACGGTTTTGTGAAGATGGACCTGGCTCTCTCTCCCTCTCTCTCTCTCTCTCTACCTCTCTATCTTTCGATTTATGCGTCTTACACGAACACATACAGCACACACACACACATTCAAAGCTTAAATCACTGTATGCATGCATGCATGCATGCATGCATGCATGCATATAGGTGTGTGCACTAACCCCGTGCAGCATGGTTGCAGCATGCGTATGTAAGTGTGTAAGTGTGCACAAGTTGCGTCAAATTGCGAAAAAGGTGTCTACGTGTGCCTGTGCGCATGTGTGCATGTGGGAATGAATGCCTTTAAACCAAGACTAACTAATATGGTCTTTTAAAAGTAAGACTAAAAAAGATAGTCTAACTCCACGTAGGTCTGGGTTGGCAGCCGGTCCAGGAAAGCCCTTCTGCATGCCTTTTGAAGGACATGATGCACCCAAGTCGAAACAATTGCCATGTCAGGGCGCTTGGACGGGGAGAGTCCATCTAAAAAACCCGAAACCCTAAACCCTGAACCCTAAACCCTAAACCCCAAACCCTAAACACTAAAACTTATTTGGGTTAACGTCGTGTTTCTGTCTTTGGCCACCCGAACTTCCGAACCCGACACCATCGGCCTCGCGGCAGCGCAGAGACTGTGCACTTCCTAGCCAAACTCAACAGCAGATGGCTGATACTAAAGCCCTAGACCTCTTAAATCCCGGGGCTTTAAAACTTTAACATTGAGGGTGTGAGGTTTCTGTTCCGGTGGGGTTTCGACTATAAGGGATCTATGATAGTATTAGGGGCCTTCATAATTAGAATGGGGTTCTTTTAAAGGTCTCCTTAAAGGGTTCTATAAGGGCTACTATAAGGTTTCGGGGGTTGCGAGTATACGGCTCACGGCATGCTGAGCTCCAGGCCTTTTCGCTCTGAACCGTTTCAGAAGCTAAGGACCCGCGAGTATGGGTTAGGGTTTAGGGTTTAGGGTTTAGGGTTTAGGGTTTAGGGTTTAGGGTTTAGGGTTTAGGGTTTAGGGTTTAGGGTTTAGGGTTTAGGGACTCCACGCATAGGAGCCTCAATATAAGAACCGCTGACAAAGCATCCATACTCGTAGAAATCCCACATTTGTCAGGCCGTCCGGCTGTTATGGGGAAAGATGCTGCTTTGTCCTTGGTTGGCCCTCGAAGCTATGGGCACCGGCCCGCACCCCTTGAAGCCCAAAACCCGGACAAGCATTTTGGCGTTGTGATGTATACATATATGCCCACATGTATACGCACAGACATCCACAAGACAAAACATGTATACATACGGGTATTTGTTTTTGAGTGCGTCGGTTTGCACACGTAGAGAGGGAGGCAAGCAAGCAGGCAGGCAGGCAGGCAGGCAGGGAGGGAGGGAAGGAGGGAGAGAGATAGACATCACTGGGCTCAGGAGGTTTGCGGACATGACTTCCTAGCGTGAACAAAAACGGAGGTTTCTTTTCAAGGGCTTCACCTTCTCCTTCGCTCCTCGTTCTAACCTCAGACAGCCTTATCAGTAGGAACTCGCACAACCTGTACGACCTTGCAAAGGTCAAAGCCCTAAGCCTCAGATCCCCAAGTCCGAACCTGAACCCTAAACCCTAAACCCTAAGCCCTAAGCCCTAAACCCTAAACCCTAAACCCTAAACCCTAAACCCTAAACCCTAAACCCCAAACCCTAAACCACCAAAACCCGAAACCTCGACCTTCACCCCCAGCCCAGCCGTCCTGGAGCAGTGGGCTCTCCTCCTCCGCCTGTTCACGACTTCAGGGTTTCCAGTGAAATTCAAGTCCCTTTTTCAGCACGGACTGAATGGTTTGGGGTTTCGGGTTTAGGGTTTAGGGTTTAGGGTTTAGGGTTTAGGGTGCCGGCCAACGCCTGTGCAACCCTCACCCCGTCTAGGCCAGAGCACACAGGAAAAGCTGCGGATGACTACGAACGGAAGCTTGGCTGAAGATCGCCGGAAGGTAAAGAACGGCAAGGAGCTGCAATCACTGAAGTCCCTTTTTTGCATCAGGACTTGTGCAATCGCCTGAATATCCGAGCCCGCAGAAGTTCAGCTCTCACGACTGGGCTTCCACACCATGCTCAGGAGAACTCGCAAACACAGAATGTCTCAGCAT